CAATTCAATGCATGGCCTCAGAGGTGTTATTGCCGCGCCGGTTACGTCCTCTCCTGTCTTCTTCTGTTCACAAGGCATCAACTTTCATTTATTTCCCACCCATAAAGGAAAGACGCATACACCGACCGCGGGTTAGATCAGGTCCTTAAGCCCTCATTCTTAAGGAAGATCTTAAACCCCTTCCAGCCAATAGGAGAAGGATAGAGAAAATGATTAGTAATCATTGGATAACTACCTACCTAATACGTTAAAGGGTAAGACTGGAATATACAAAATATTTAATGATATCATTAATTAAAATATAAATTGAGGAAACCCACGCAAACGTGAAATCAAATTGATTTTCGAGAATCAGATTGATTTCCGCCTTTGCATAGGTTAATAATATTGCATTATATTATTAATAGGAGGCTTAAAAAACGTTAATGTTATAAACTCTTATGGTTGAAAAAAAATGTTAATAGTATAGGATCTTACGTTGATAAAGGATGAGTTTTTGTTAATAACACAGACCTTAATGACACCTTTTTATTGTTAATGGTGAGTTACATAAAGTTGATTCTCTTTAATAACATTATTAATAGATTTTGATTGAACGTTAATAATAGTATATTAGAATATTAACAGGAAGAAATAAATAAAGTTAATACTATGAACTTTGATGTTCATTCAACTTAATTGATAATTAATTAATTATGTTGCACAGATTAATAATAGTATAGTAAAATATTAATAGGAGGCATAAAAATGTTGACATTTTCGTCATCAACGTTTATGATATATAAAAAGTTAACAATTTCGTCATAAACCCATTATTATCAACAATTTCAATATACTTATCAATTCTTTACAATCACATTATTAATAATTTTGGAGAAATTATTACCGATTATCATCGCTTATGAATAAATTATTAAAGATACCACATCATTCTTTAAGATTATTAATATATTTAGATCGATTTGTTAAAGATTTACATTTTCGACATCAACACTTATGAATGGATTGTTAAAGTTATGTAATATCATCATTAATGATTTGAATAACACTATCATTGATCTACAACATCTTTATTAACGATTCACGTTATCACGTCATGTTCATAACTAGCCAATCATGGCCTCTTACAACGACTTCCAATTATATTATTAACGTCAATGAAATGAATTATTATTGATACACCTATTATGATTAACGGTTTTAATAGACTAATCAATGATTAATAACTAAATTATGTTGGTGTTGAAAATACAAGCAAAATCATTGATAATGATTGCATCAAAATGAGTAATACACATAATACATGTTATTAACAAACTCTCTTATAAAAAAACTGATAACGATATCAAAAAAATATCAACATCTAAGTTGTGTTTTATTTAAAATACAAATAAAATATTGATAACGATTGGATTTAATGATGGCCAACCATATGGCATATTATTAATAATTATTTCTCAAACATGGATATGCTCATACTCACCCCTTAATAATGATGAGAATTATGATAATATTTATTTGGAAAATTTTAATAATCATAACGTAATTCATTAACAATACCTATATAAAAAACATTAAGAACATTGTTGTAAACCGTTCAAAGGAGAACAAAAATGTTAACAATGCTTGGCTCCTAGTCGGTATCAACGTTTATAAATAAATTTTTCTCGATCGGTCATATTGTTATCAACGTTAACGCATGATATATCATCATTATTATCATTTTAAAATTAATAATCGATGTTATGATACCATTATTAACGATTTCTCGTCATTTTTTAATGAAATCCATATAACATAAACTTTGTTAAAGATGCTGATAAAAAAAATGGTTAGTAGATGTGGGTTTCTTTTGCAGAGGTTGCTTTCTTTCCTTTCCTGGTCTCGCATGCAGCAAAAGTTTTTTTTTTTTTTTTACAATGGCATGCAACAAAAGGAGCTGGGTGGAATATATGTTAAATCTCTACTCTTTGCTTTCTTTCCTTCCCTGGGTCGTCGCAGGCAGCAAAAGAATGTCGGATATGATGATGAACTTGCTGCTGCGGGAGGAATGCGTGCACAGGGGCGGAATAGGATTACGGGTTGGTAGATTTCGAAGATATGGAAAGAGGAGGAGAGAGAAGGGACGGCCTGCAGTTGCAGCGGACAGGATGACGGGCGAACGTTGAAGAGAAACGATTCGGCTGCGGCTGAGGGAAAAAGGGTTATGTTTTTTAATTATTTACTTTCCCTAAATACCCTTAACAACTAATTAACTAATAACTCCTCACTAACTATCTTAAATTGAATCAGCCAATCAAAACGCTTTAAGATCCTCCTTAAAAAAGAGGGTTTAAGGACCTGAACTTAGGCCCACCGACCGAGAGCGAGGCTCCTTCTCCTTTGTTTCATATATAAATAAGAATCGGGTACTGCACGAGTTTATGCACTAGATACAAAAGTCTCCTCAATATCCAAGTTAAGGCTCCAGCTCTTAGTGAATTCGTCCATAAAGTTGTCCAATCTTGCTTTAAGTTCCTTGAGCATCTCACCCAAAACATGCACTTCATGCAACACTATATTGAGTTTTTCATCAACAGCTTCCATGGCCGGACTGGATGTATTCCAAATAACCCCACGAGGAGCAATCACATAATTCTAAATAAAAAAGAAAATTGAATAGAAAACATAATTAAACGTTGGGCTACTAAAGTGAAATTACACTCGTAACACATTCGCGGAAAGTTGCATCAAACAAACATAGTCACTTACTTCAAGTTTATAAATAAGCTCTTTGGATGTGGGTGCTGTAACTAATATATTACGGTTTGATGAACTCATCCTCTACAGCTTTGTCGATCATTGACATAAGATGATTGTAGTAACCATTGACATTTAGCAAACCCACCTGCATATTTGTTTTGTTTTTTCTTGGTGAAGGAAAACATAGAAGAAAGGCGACACAACAAAAGAAGGAATGAAGAGAGAAAGGTTATACCGGTTTGACATGAACTCCAAGTTGTGCCCAACTTATAACTTCAAATAACTCTTCCAGTGTTCCATACCCACCTGATTATAGAAATGCATTAGGTGTAACAGCTTTGTACCCGGCCAACCAGCCAAGTTCATATTTTATCATCTAAAATAATTGTTATAAACTTTGATAAAATAATTTAAAATGCATAATTTAGTTAATTTAATTTTAGGTTTTCGAGGTAATTGGTTTGGAGGTTTTGATCATTGAATTTGGTGTTGTTTTTAACTTAATTTCTATGATAATATTTTGACATTATTGACGGATCCTCTATGAGAATAAGTTTTCGAATAATAATAATTTGGGATATGATTCTTGATTTTCCCTTTTTATGGGTGGGAAATAAATGAAAGTTGATGCCTTGTGAACAGAAGAAGACAGGAGAGGACGTAACCGGCGCGGCAATAACACCTCTGAGGCCATGCATTGAATTGGAGGTTACACTTTTTTTTTATTCAATGGAGGCTGCAGCCAAAGAAAAAGAAAGATACAGGGGGAAGGGATTGGAGGTTACACTTAAGAGTGAACTATTGGATGGCTAATTTTTGTTGCCCTAAACCGTTTTGTAGCACAATGGGTTTTGGTTTTGATTCAACCGAAAAATTTATAGGTGATTTTGACGATCCTTTAAGTTCTGCTTTCTTAGTGAATCCGTCAGAAAAACAGTCCCCCAACAACGAAAATATATCAAGTCACCCCTAAATTAGTCACGTCCTCCGAACCCCGAGAAACCTCCCCCCACCTCCCCTTAAGTTGCCATTTCGGTCTTCAATCTCAGCAATGTTATGCAAAACCTCTCCCAATGTTGTGCAATTCCTGGTAGCGATGATGATCATCTCTGCTTAGTGGCAACTGTATATTTCTTATTGAGCTTACCTGTGGTATGGAAGATGGTCGGTTCCGCCAGCTCGATACATGCATGCTTAAGTTCTCCCCTTCCTAGGATGCATTGATACATTTTTTTAATAGTTTACGACTTTAAACCACAATCACACCGTTTCGGTCAATTTGGACTCACAAACCGTTAAAATATATACCATAAGGCAAACCGCAAACTTTGCAATGTGATGTTGTTGGACCGCAATCACGCGCGATTTGGTGATTGTCCGCCTCAGCTTTGCTTTACTCCTTCCTTCCTTTTTAGGAAAATCTAGAGAAGTCTACTTGATTTAGGAGTCCCCACAGGAGACAGCGGGAAATTAAGTCACTGGGCGGCTCACTCTCAACATCATGTGATTTTGATGTTGAAGAAGATATGGAAGCTTCAAAAGAGAGATACTGCTGGGCTCTGAACAGAGCCTTTATGATAATCAATAATTATTTTCTCTCACTTTTTTTAAGATTCAAATAAAAATTGTATGGAGCTCCAGTATCCAACTGCCCTATCGCTATTTAATTTCTATCCATCACACTCCAGTCAAACATATATCCCCGGCTCAAGACCCCATCCTTTCTTTCTCTCGTCCTTCACTAGCTAAGACTCTCCGAATGCTCCCAACAGCCAACTCCCTGGCACCGCCGGTGATCCACTCACCTCCACCTTTCGTTCCACCCGACCGGCCACCAGATCCTTCCACCAATCCATCTTTCCAATTTCCACCATTCGTGCAATCATCCAAAGCTCACCAAGCAATGATGGATGCGGATCCTCCATCCATACCCCTAATGAGCATATCCGAACATCCATGATCTTCTCTTCCTCCATCATCTATGGTGCTAACTAATTCTCCTATATCTCACTACACTGTCAGCTCCCGGGAGGGCAACCCGTCCATTATATGATCCACATCATCTCTTCCTCCAGCATCTAGTTGGCCAACTGCTTCTCTTCCACCCCTTACTATTAACCCCCAACCATCCTACAAGGCAGCTTTGGAAGCTGGCAGTTCGCCTACTAATATGGTAACGAGTTCAGAACTCAAGGTTTCCCAAGAAGACTACATTGTAGGCTCTCGAGATGGGGAACCCTCCCTTCTATGGTCCCCTCAACTCCTCAATCAAGTTTGTACCCCACTGAAGCAAACAGTTGTAGTGCGTTTGATCGGAAGGAAAGTTCGATATCCTTACCTTGTTGCACGGCTACACAAAATGTGGAAACCTTCAAGCCACATGGATGTGCTCGATCTGGATCATGATTGTTTCATGGTCAAATTCACCAACAGGGCTGACTACCTGACTTCCCTATCAGACGGCCCGTGGATGATCCTCGAACATTACCTGGTGGTTCAGCCATGGTCTCAGGATTTCCGACTCAAAGAGAAGCTCCCACCAAGCATCACAGCATGGGTAAGATTTCCGGCTCTATCCATTCAGTACTACCACAATCAGATTTTGACGGTGATAGGCAATCTTTTCGGGAAAACAATCAGCATTGATCCAAACACTCTCACCGTTCAAAGAGGGAAGTTTGCTAGAATGGCTATCGAAATTGACGTATCGAAACCCCTACGCACAAGATTTTGGCTAGATGGGCACTGGCAAGCAGTGGAATATGAAAATCTACCTCAGTTGTGCTTCACCTGCGGCAGAATCGGTCATCAAGAAGAGCTTTGTCCCACCAGGAGACTTCATGAACCAACCACCGGCCCAATCTCTTCGCCACAAACGAATAGCACTCAGCATCACCATGAACCAAAAGCCACTTACGGCCCTTGGATGCAAGTCCAGAGATGCAATTGGAGAAATCCGAAACCAGGTAACCCAGGTGCCGCCGACCACACTCACCGGGAAAGAACTCAGAAAAACGCCGGCAAAACAACATCTCTGAATCTGCACCGACAAGGTAATATCAATATTGTCAGAAGAGGCCCAACTACCCAGGACAACAACAATAAACAAAGCTCTCCTTCTGGCAATGACAACGGCATCAACATGGAGGAAGAGCAGAGCATTAAAACAGGAATGGGCGACCTCACCAAGGAAGAAACTGTAGCAAAAGAAAAATTAAAGATGATCAAGCCCTCAGCCTCATCGATTGCTGCAGTAGAAGAAAAGAACAGAGGAAAAGCACCAAAAGCTGCGCCGAAAGGGAAGATAGTCGAAAACCTTATGACATCTCTTGACAGTAATAAACAAGCAGGCTTAATTGGGCCACCTCTCTCCTCTTCTATTTCCGGCCCTTCATTTTTACAGGCCACAAATCTAAGCCCACTTAACTCTACAATTCATCCATCTGATTTGTCAAGCCCAGAACAACCCAATATTCCATTTAATTCACTTACCACCAACGAGATTTCTACTCCCCAACCAAAACCTATTTTAATCCCACCACCTGTTCCTTTCCCCACTCCTTTAAACCACATGTCTACCACTGCTACTATAGGAAAAATCCTCCCAGGACCTCCACCATTGACCCTCCAGCCTAATATTACAACTTCACTTTCTTCCTCACTCTCCGACAAGGCTAGACCCTCAAATCCTCTTCTTCTACCGGGAGTGCCTGATCTATCACCACCGCCTATTGTCAACATCACAAGCTCCAATGTCATGTCATTACAGCTAGTCCAACTCAAGCCGTTGGAGCTTTCAAGCCATCCAACTTCATCGTACCCCTCGGCAGCGGCCAGAACAAAGAAAACCAAAGCTATCAACAACAAAAGCCAGGTCGGAATCCACATTGCCTCGCCATCTAAGATGACACAAGTTTGGACACCGAAGCTAGATAAGAGAAGCAAAGGCCGAGAAAAATCAAGCTCTCTCTCCCTCCAGGAGATTGATGCCTGGACCGCCCTGGCTTCTGCAAAAAGCTCATCAAACACTCAACCTCCACTGAAATCCAAAGATGAGGTTATGACGGTCCAATCGATTCCACAGGCTACAGCTGGCAAGGAGCAATCCAAATCGCCAAAATATTTACCTCCTCAAGGGAGACCGCCGAATTTGGGAGAGATACCAGAGCAACTATAGACAGCCGATGAGTAGATGAAGGAGACTTCAATGGGCATTGGGGGTACAGAGGGCAGCCTGTCATCCCAAGTTTAAATTCAAGGAGTTTTTTCTCTTACCCTATTTATGATGAATTACAAAATCTTTGTTTGGAACTGCAGAGGTGCAGGTAGTATAAAGTTTCTTCGTGTGTTCAGCGAATATAGGAGAAAATATAAACCTCACATAGTAATTATAGTTGAACCACGTATTAGCGGGAATACAGCGAGAGATGTGATTCATAAATGGGTTTTGATTAGGAATTGGTTGTTGATGCCATCGGATTTTCGGGAGGGATTTGGATTCTATGGAATTCCATTGACATGACCATTACGCAGCTTGATTCCCACTCTCAATTCCTCCATGTGCAGGTTGAAACTCCAGGTACCCGAGAAAACAAGTGGCTCCTAACTGCAGTGTATGCAAACCCAGCACCTATGCAACGCCGAGAGCTATGGGAGGATCTCAGGTCGATGTCGGTCAACCAGGATCAACCGTGGATGCTTGTAGAAGATTTCAATTCTATACTACATTCGTCTGAAAAGTTGGGTGGTGCTGCTTTTGATGCAAGCCGCATTCGGGACTTCCAAGACTGTGTGCATGACTCTCGTGCCTTAGCCAACAACCACTGGCTCATGCATTATCCCGATGCCGCTGTACGCCATCTGCCCCGGATCAAGTCAGACCACAGGCCGCTCATGGTCTCCACCGAACCATCGCACACTCCTGCAGGGACAAAGCCGTTCCGCTTCCTTGCAGCCTGGTTAACACATGATGAGTTCCAACCTATATTGCAGACAGCCTGGGCCAAAGGGTCATCCTTCATCCCTTCGGCAGAGGCTTTCGCGCGAGATGCTAACCATTGGAATTGTCATGTGTTCGGTCATATTCAGAGGAAAAAGGACGTACTATTGAGGAGGTTGGAGACACTGGAACATAGAGATGGTCATCTAACGACATCACCGCAACTTGAAAGTACTAGAGAGGAATTGGAAATGATCCTGTTCCAGGAGAAGCTTCTCTGGTGTCAGAAATCGAGGCAGGAGTGGATTGCCTCAGGGGACAGGAACACTGCCTATTTCCACTCGAGGACACTGCAAAGACACAAGAGAAATAGAATTGCAGCGCTAAAAAATCAGCAGGGTGACTGGGTAGAGGAGGAAGAGGAATTGAAGCAAATGGTCATGCAGTTCTTTCAGCAACTCTATACAGATGAAAACGAGATTGCTCAAACTCTGACGCGATCTTTCCCTGTAATCGCAGAATCACTATGGCAAGGATTCACTAGCCCACCGGCGCTGAGTGATATCCAGAGAGCAGTTCAGTCTATGGGAGCTCTCAAAGCTCCTGGAATCGACGGACTAAACCCACTTTTTTCCAGAAGTGTTGGGCGACAGTTGGTGAATCGCTGGCTCAGCTAGCAACAAAGTGTTGGGAGGATCCAAGCAGAATAAAGAGCATCAATGCCACGATTTTGGTTTTGATTCCGAAAATTGCTACACCAACTTTGATTGAGCAGTTTCGGCCTATAAGCCTATGCAATGTGGCATATAAAGCTCTCACAAAATGCCTGGCAAATCGATTAAGGCCTCTGATGCCACTACTTGTACATGAAACTCAAACGAGCTTTAATTTGTGCCTGGGCGACATATAACAGATAATATCTGCATTCTGCAAGAGGTGGTGCACTCCATGAGGGAGAAGAAAGGAAGACGTGGGTGGATGGTTCTCAAGGTCAATTTGGCCAAGGCTTATGACCGTATTCGTTGGAATTTTGTCCGGGACACGCTTGAAGCCGTGGGATCACCAACACCTTTTGTAGAAGTTACCATGGCTTGCATAACTTCTGCAAGCATGCAGATCCAGTGGAATGGCGGATTGATCAGCCCATTCCTTCCTTCCCGCGGCCTGAGACAGGGATGTCCTCTATCTCCTTATATCTTTACCTTGTGTATGGAACGCCTTGGGCATTTGATTAACGATTCTGTAGGGGCTGGAAAGTGGCAGCCTATCAAACTGACCAACTCTGGACCAACTCTTTCTCATTTGTTTTTTGCAGATGACCTAATTCTGTTCGGGGAAGCTTCGATGCAGCAAGCACAGGCCATCACTCATTGCTTTGAATTGTTTGGAGCTGCCTCGGGCCAGAGATTTAGCAAGCCAAAGTCGAGGATTTTTTTCTCACTGAACGTCAGCACCGCATGCCGACTGGAGCTAAGCGCAAAACTAGAGATTCCACAGACAGACAACCTCGGATGTTACCTAGGAGTCCCTGTTATCCATGACAGGGTGTCCAAGGCCACATATACTGAGCTGATAGACAAAGTGGACTCCCGTCTAGCTGGGTGGAAGGTAGAGAAGATGAGCATGGCTGCAAGATTCACTCTGCCACAGTCAGTACTATCGTCTCTCCCGTCCTACACGATGCAAACTTCTTTCCTCCCAGCAAGTGATCGGGATTACATAGACAAAAAGATCCGGGCATTTATTTGGGTGAGCTACAGTCCTTTGCACAAATTCAGGCTAAATCTGTACAGCTGAAGCAACAAATCATTCAAGCTTCAGAAAAGGAGAGTACGCTAATCGGAGCCGGGGGACTCCGAACACCGAGAGATATCAAGTGGCAGCCACCACAACATGAGTGGGCGTGCCTCAACACTGACGGATCAGTGACCAACTCTCCTCTTAGCTCGGCAGCTGGCGGAGTCGTGCGGGGAGACGACGGCCGTTTCATTACAGCTTTCACTATGAACCGTGGGGGAGGTTCAGTAACGAGTGCAGAGTTAGCCGGAATTGTGCAAGGATTGAAACTCACTTGGGAGGCAGGAGTTCGGAAGGTGATTCTGCAGACAGATTCCACCACAGCGAAGCATCTTATTGAAGTCGCCACACCACACCATCGATACTACACAAGCGTCGCCGAAATACGACATTGGCTAGCGAGGGACTGGGAAGTCCACATTGTCCATGTTTACAGAGAGGCAAATGTTGTTGCAGATTATCTCGCTAATTTAGGGCATTTGTGTTCAGTAGGTTCCCATGTTATTGCAGCACCTGATGCTGCTCTTTCTTATTGGTTGTACCATGACATTATCGGGGTCGGAACGACCCGCTTTATTATTGAATAAAGGTTGGGGTGCCCTTTAAGCGCCCCGCTTCGCACAAAAAAAAAAAAAAAAAGAAAGTAAAGAAGGAAATAAAGAAAGGGTTATGGAAGGCAAGTGAAAAATAAAATGAAAAGGAAGTAGATGATGGAATGTTTTGATAAATTCTTTTAGTTGTTCGTCAATACAACAGTTAAGCCTTTTCACCGTAGAAATTTATTGACACTTGCTTATGCAGATGTCGCATGTTTAGTTACATGTAATTAGTAGAAGTTTGTTTAGTACCTCGTAAATATACTAAATGAGTTTATAAGTTCGCTCTTGTAATATTTTAGAGTCGTCTTTCTTTTATCATTTATTTAATGTTTCACGTTATGAGCAAATATAAAATGGTTGAATCTTCTCCTACAATTGATTGGTACAACATCTTGTATTGTACAGACTAAATTTATACTTTTATGTTATGATTGATTGGATTCATGGATTGGTTCAAAAGAATTTGTGGATTGAATTCATGGATTCAATATGTAAATTTAAAAAATCGTAGGTACGAAAATCTCATAAAATTTAGATACCAAAACATAATTGTTCAATGATTTTAAATTTAAATTTAAATTTGAGGTATCAAAATATAAAATGTGCATTATAGTGACTAAGTTGTGATTTAATTAAATTTGGGGCATCAAAATTTAAATAGTTATGCAACGGTAATTCAACTTCATGTTATATATAGTAACAAGAAGTTCCCCAAGAAACAACCATTTGTGAACTACTAGACAACCAAACCCCGGGTAATTATCATAAATGGTAACAAAACTATTCACTTTGTACAAAAAGGTAATTCCGTCCATTTCCATCCAAAAAAACCATTACTTCCGTCCAGTCAGCACGACACATCATTTAAAATATTAATAAATAAAGTAATGACCATGGGAGTGACCAGTAATAGATATGGTGCAAACTCATCAAATCAGAACCCAGATTTGCCCACC